GAATAAACTGATCTTCCACTACAAAAACCGCCGTTTTTCAGCTGTTGTGAAACCACCGTTTGTCCAAGTTTGCCACTGGCGCCGAGTCACAAAAGGCTCCATAAATAGCAGGACACCCATCCGTTCTGGGGGAGCTGCCAAGTCATTGATTCGCACCTGGCTCCGCCGTTGTTTCAACCCAGGGATTTTTTGTTGAACATCTACAGGAAACCATGGTTTTTACAATAAAATATTGGGTTTCCTGTAAATTATCCCTTAAACCAATCCAATGAATATAGATGTGATTATATCCGGTTGGTGGTTGACCTACCCCTCTGAAAAATATGAAGTTGGGATGATTATCCCATATATTGTGGAAAATAACAAATGTTCCAAACCACCAATCAGAAGAGTATGAAGAGCTGTGGTGACTAAAAATGACACACAAAATTTAAACCAAATGCTAAGAAACTGGGGATCTGCACCAGTGAGCAAGATCGGAGTTTCCCAAATTCAGACCATATATATATATATATATCTCATAGATCTGTAATAAGGTTCATCTCCAAATATGATTCATCCTCTACCCTCTAAAAGTCACATGTCTTTTAGTACATCATTCCTCACTTGTATCTATATGTACCCAATGCTCCCGTTTATTTGGGGAATTTAGGGTATCTCAAAATCATTCAAGAACAGGATTTAGCAAAGACCGGCCATCTGTGGACCATTGGTATCCAATCTTCGGGTTGCCATGCTCACAATAGTGGGGAGGTCCCCATAAGTCTACAAACCTATCCATATCTCCATTAGTCCTAGTTGGATACATCTCCACCACAAATTCTGCCCATTGAACTATAGATTCCATATGTACCCTGCGCGGAAGTAACATACACCTGGCCAAATAGGGGGTTGGAAGACGAGTTTCCACTCAAATTTGGCTGAAATAAGAGGGTCTTATCTGGTAATCCCAATCATAGTCCATCCCATGCCATTGGATTATTGCATTATAACATAATGGTTTATTTTAAACATTATGTGGGAAACCCAATGCCATAAACCAATATGTTAAATATCCTGTGTCCCACATTATGTTAGTTATAACATGTTATAACCAGTAGACAAACTTCGCCAGGGGACAAAGGTCAGTTCGGCGACCAAGCGATTAGTGTCACCGGCCAGAAGGATCTCCCTCATCGCCTCTGTTCTGCAGGAACCCCGGTGGTTCAATGGGATGAACTGGCTGAAACATATGGCCAGTCACCATCAGAATTCAACAACATAATGCACGTAGCACTTGATGGTTCCTAAGGAAGGCTTGTTAACTCTATTTGTTGATCTTTGTCCGTTGGTTTACTCTCCATTCTTGTTAGGAGCAAAACCTCCAAGTTGTCTTGCTTAACTTATACACATCTCCATGTTTGTTGGCTAAATCTCCAATTTCCATGCTTTTCTTGGCGAAATGACCATGGTTCTTGGTCTCAGCTTTTGTATTCTGAATGATTGGCAGTTAGAATCCAGAAATCTCTGTGACAATCAGTTAGAATTGATCCAAAAGTGATACTTTTGGCTGCAGTTAGAATATGTTATATAAATCCACATATAGAGGTTTCCTGAAATACCCCCAAATCATCCATCTTTGGAGGATTTTCCACTATAAACCATCCAGCGATTGGGGTTACCTCATGGCTATGGAAAGCCGCCTCGAACTGCGTCAGCAGTCGCGAGCTGAACATCTTGCGGTGCACTTCGTAGTCGGGGATCATGAAGAGATCCATCCTGAGCGATGGGACCTTTTGGGCGGATTTAGCATTATTAATAGCAATTACCCTCCAGTGAATTAACATAGACCCAGATAGGGGTTGGAAGATCAGTTACCGCTTAAAATTTCTTACGTTCAGGGTCTATGTTAATTTATCAGAGGGTAAGTGGGAACAAAAACATAGGAACGTGATAATATTAATGTTAATATATATATATATATATTATAGCAATCAATTACCCCGGGGAAAACATACATAGAGAAATGTGGAAAAACCATGGGTTTCCAAGGAGAATTATCTACGACTCATGGTGGGTTTTCCGCATCGAACTGTTCGCCCTATCAGGATGGTAAACGGGGAAAATCATCGGAGCATGAGATTAATACATACTGGTTGGTGGTCTTAACCATCTTGAAAAATATGAGTCAATGGGAAGGATGATCCCATACATTATGGAAGAATAAAAAATGTTCCAAACCACCAACCAGTATATATAGATGCGATTATATATATATATATGTATATACATATAATATGATCATCAAAATCATCGATCATAGGGGAATTAAATGTAAAAATCAATTGGAAGAGCGCGCGAGGAGTTTCTCACTGCGGCTGAATCGAAAAAATGCAGAATTACTATCAATATCAATGATAATGGGGATCTCATGTCATATCATACGATTTCATACCATGATTGTGCGACATCAATAATATCCATCAGCAGCAATGAAATAATGAGACCTGAGAAAAACCACTGGAATTTGAGGTAACCTCTGGTAGTCAAACATGGCTGGTGCCGTGGCCATGACTGGGGCATTTCAGCGGCAAATGATCACTGGCCAGGAACTGAAAGTCGTTTCAAATAAACCATGCAACTGGCTGGTAGCGGTCATGTGTAATGTGGAACTACACACGTATTATATATATATATATGCATTATTATGTTTTATTATGTATTTATTTGCATCTGTGTATACACCTGTTTGTATATAGTCCCTGACTATGCACATCTGTGGGTTAATGTAGTTAAGTCGGGAACGCCAAGAATATATAACAATAATATAGTAAGAAGGAATTACCAGCAGTACATGGAAATCAAACTGAAAACACATGCGTATAGGCTCTACAAAAACAATAATTGGAGAAAGGCAATTGGGTCTGTAACAGAAAACCATCATCAAATTCAGCAAAGATCCCAAGGTTTACCAGAAAGTGCGTCAAATTAAAGCCATGTCCCAGTTGGAGGTTGACTGTGGCATTCAGTTTACCACAATGATATATGTATATATATATATATATATATAAAGATTTAAGGACGGTTGAACGCTATAACAACACCAAACCCCAAAAGAATTGGTCATAGGTAGCCTTGAAACATGCCATTTCTGACGGTACCAAAAGTTGATCTATACCTTCGTGCCTTCACTTTGCTATTGTCAGTATTCCTTCACATTCTTTACAAGGGATACATCTGATAACAAGATCATGAACTAATGGACTGATGGTTGTTATATCTGATACAATGAACATATATACTAAACAAAAAAAACCTGATCATGAAAATACATCAATTCATAAAGATATTCATTATAAGGATGATCATTATCTGACGATTGTCATCCATAAAGTATATAGTATATTCTAATCCTCCATGGACTTTTCATGGATTTTGCAACTTCCGTGGCGGCCCTGGTTCCGTGGCGGCCAAGCGTCAGGGCGGGCAAGGGCACCACGTTGTAGTTTCGCTGAGGGTTGCCCTCATAGGACATTCGACTCTCAAAGGCAGCTGGGGAGACGGACTCAGCAGGGCGGACATTGGATGGGTTTTGTTGGAGAATCTGAACACCGGAGACATCAGGAAATCATTAATTTTTCCTATGACATGTTGGGGTTTCCTATGGTTTCCTATAAATTTCCCCTCAACCAATCAATTGAGTAATATCATGGACAACAATACTAGATAGTGATAATGATTCATGATTTATAATGTGATATCATAAATGATTCATAATTATATGATGGATCTCAATGGGATATCAGTGTCTAACTACAATGTGCTATTGACAGGTATCAAACACAAATCTACGTGTACCCAATCCCTGTCAAAAATAACTCACAGAAGTTTACGATATCTCCTTTTTTTGCCGGTGATGTGGTAAAATGGTACATATAGGTCATATGGGTGTGTCTGAAAATGTTTAGTATACCCCTAAACACCAGTTATATTGTGTGTATAATCTGTATTTCTCTCTCTCTCTCTTTATAATTATATTAATATAATTATATTCATATATATATATATATACACGCATAGTTATGAATATATATATACAGAATAGGGAACATTATGATAAACCTTGGCTGTTTTAGGGTACACCATTTTCAGACAAATGCACTTTGGTGTTGCAGCCGTGTTTGTGGCATCGTTTTCAGGATGAGATCATCCAAAAACATGTCCTGTCTGATGTGGGGCCATCTAGATAAGTTGCTTCATAACTAGTAACAAACTCTGGTCGAAAGCACAACGCACAGAAATGGAACACCACAGAAAAACACAGCTATGTTATTGTACTAAATAATGATGATAGTTTCCCCCAAACACCAATACCATCGGAGTATTTAATATAGCTATGGAGAATCCAGTATAATCTGTAAATGGGCCATTTTCCATAGCTATGTTAAATAACCAGAGGGTAACAAAAGCAGCAAAAACGAAAGGAAAATCTCCGCCGTGGCACAACACTTTGGGCTTGCGACACGTTGCCCGAGGTGCGTTCAGGCCAAGCCCAAATCGGAGGTCCAAACCTTGGGGGTGACCCGATTCTCAGAGGTCTTAGCTTATTTTGTTGTTTTTTTTTTGGGGGGGGGGGCTGGGAAAATGTGGGGAAAATGTGGGAAATTCATATCCTTTGATTTTGAGGAAGTGTTGGAATTGGATTCTTGATTTCTTTCTGAAACAAAGTCAGCCGTGTTTGACTGGTTGGATTGAATGGAGATCCCAAAACTAATTCCATCGCTTTTTTGATTCAAGGGGCAGGCAAACTCGGAAAGTGGGTCTTCGGATGGAAGGTCAGTCGCAGTCTATCATCATGTGTAGCCCTATACCATGGAGCATCTGGAATGATGCATTTTGCTATTAATAATCTATAAACCTAAAATGTAAAGCAATAATATATAGAATCGAAAGAACCAGACCATATATATATATATATATACTATAATGTAACAAAAAACACGTTGGAAACATTTGGAAAC